ATTTGGACCCCAGGGCTTTTATTTGAACAATCTTGGTAGACACTCACTAGAAGATGTTTCATGCCAAATATCTAAGCTCTAGCTCTTTGGGTTCTTTAAAAGGAGATTTTTTAAGTTTTTACTATATGCATATAGGGAAAATCAATGACCCCCTGGGGCGGGGCCAATTTTGACCCCAGGGCTTTTATTTGAACAAACTTGGTAGACACTCATTAGAAGATGTTTCATGCTAAATATCTTAGCTCTAGCTCTTTGGGTTCTTTAAAAGAAGATTTTTAAAGTTTTTACTATATGCATATAGGGAAAATCAATGACCCCCTGGGGCGGGGCCAATTTTGACCCCAGGGCTTTTATTTGAACAATTTTGGTAGACACTCACTAGAAGATGTTTCATGCCAAATATCTAAGCTCTAGCTCTTAGGATTTTTTAAAAGAAGATATTTAAAGTTTTTCTTTTGGTTGCCATGGCAACCAGAGTTCTGCATGTAATTAAATTCTTTGAACAATTTTTAAAGGTGACCACCAAAGGAACATTCCTGTGAAGTTTGGATGAAATTGGCTTAGTGGTTTATGAGGAGATGTCATTTAAAGTAAAAGTTTACGGACGGACGGATGCCGGACGGACGCCTGACGAAAAGCGATCACAAAAGCTCACCCTGTCACTTTGTGACAGGTGAGCTAAAAATATGACTATCCATGACACCTTTCTATATTCTACTAGATCTATTTTATGTCCTAGTCCTACTGCATTTGATCAATGAAATATAACTGTCATTACTTATCATAGATCAATAATTGTGAAAACCTACTCTTCATTAAACAACAAAAAATCTCTTTACTAAATAAAAACATGTATCATATTTCACTTCCATGTAAAACTATCATATTCTTATTACCAAACAATCAAACAAACAAAAAATAAATATACTTTATATACGTATTACCCTGACTGTAAATTCAAATGAACTTGTCAATGGTAAGAATATAGCCCTGTATCTCGACTACATATGTGTAATGTATCATGAGAAGAATGATAAGATAAAGCCAAAATTTAGAGAAATGTCATTTGCCCTAAATATATTACATGATGAGAAATTTAATAATGAAGGAATTCTTTACTTATATCGCTACATAATAATGTACTTAAATATGTTAATATATGTTTAAACATTACATATCATACCAAAAACCATTAAATTCTAAAAAAATATGCAATTAAACTTATTCAATAATGAAGTATACAGCAGTATAATTCAATTTAATTTGACCTTTTGACATACACTACTGCCATTTAAAACAGTTTTACATAAAAAGATCCTTTTGAAGCACATGATTAAGTAAATACATTAACAGCAAACTATTCTAGTAACCAATTCCAAAACTGAAAATTGGTACGAGTCACAGCAGCAGCAAGCAAAAAGCTAGGTTACATGATGGCATGACTTGGCAAACAGTAACATAAATACTTCTATAACTACAACCTTAAATCAGATCAATAATTTCTACACAGAAATAACATGTTGATTCACAACAAGAACTGTCAGACAGACAGTACACTATTACCAGTGCCTGATAGTAAATCACAGGCAATACAGGTATTTTTCAAAAGATGTTTACTTAGGAATATAATTTAGCACAAGTCCATTCTAGAGTTTATTTGGATCTTGGTCAGTCACCTAGAAATATTAACAAAACAACATGTGTGAAGTTTCTAGTGAAAAACCTTCAGAGTTTTATAAAATATTAAATTACATGTTAAACTAAGAGTAACACAAATGCAAACATCAGGGTGAGTAGAAAAGTCCAACTACTCTCTGAAAAGTGATGCTAAAACTAAATCAGCTGGGAGGATAACTTTGGATTTAAGGCCTCTATTTCTTATTCCAGGAACAATGCGAGTTTTAGCCAAAACCCAACACTAAACAATGATAAGAGTCTTATCTGAAACTACAACCTTTAACAATATATTAATTTGTCTACCAAAATATAATCTTCATATATAAAATAGTACTATTGTAAATGTAACAGATAAATATATAATGGTTGGGAAAACTAAGTGAGAAAAGTTCAAAACTAATGTTCCAAATAAATAATTGAGTATTTTGAGCATTGGAGAATTATGCAGATTCATAAGCAGCCACATTATTATCTTTGCTTCAGCGAAGCATATATATGTATGCCAATATTCATTGCTTCAGTGAAGCTGTCAATATGTTAGCATTCAATAATAACATATTATATTTTTGCCAATGGAAGCATTCAGTATGTCTGCCAATCAACATTTTCAAAGTTGTTACATTTCAACAGAATTTTAATTTTTTTGCAAAACATTTACACAGCTTTCTACTCAATCCATTCAAATAATTATTTGTAATTACATGAATCATGTAAATGAAGCATACATCATAAATAAACTACTGTTAAAACTAACAACAGTATCATTGAATAGAATATACATGTATTATACATGTAATTTCATTCAATAGAAAATTTATTTTACAAAAAGAAATCAGTGGACTATTTTACAAAAAAAGGATATTTTAAACCCCCCGGGGCAATTATTTAAAATAAATTGGGGAAAAACATGTATTACCATTACTGGTTTTGTAAATTTTAAAAACTAATCCCAATGAAATTTTTTATTAAATTAATAAAGATTCTCTTTATTACTTGCTAACAAAAAGTCACATAATGCATTGTAATGTTGAAAAGTGGAAAAAATCATCATCTGACTGCATCATTTTTAAAATGATATTAACATTTTTATCTTATAAATGGTTGAAAATAACATAACATTTTATGTGTGTAATATAAACACAACTGTGTATTGTGTAAAATTGAAAACAAGTGATGTCCTTTAATGAATAGTTATTCAACATATATATTAACAATTCTTTCAACAATATAGTCTAAATCATTTTTTCAATGACTAATTTTTATCATCTTGTAACTTTCTTAACTTGAATTTTTTTGTGTGCCAAAAAAACCCTAACAAGAGGGCCATAATGGCCCTTAATCAATCACATAAGCACAAAAACTCCATATGATGTTGTTTAAAGCTTATTTCTATTCTATGCTCTAGTGGCTATTTTGTTCAGCAGGCCAAACCAATTTTAAATATTTTTGTGAAGGGACAATGAAAGAACAGGATATGTCATTTATAAGTTTATAATATGTAACTCTGGTAGCAAATCTTGAAAAGCAAACAGGAAGGATATTAAGTTATTATTTGTAGAGAGAATCATCTAAGGTTCCTTCCACAAATGGCCTCCTTGGAGAAGATGCTGTTTGAAGCAAAAATTGATGTCAGATGAGAAACAGAGGTTGATCACAATACCTAGCCTTTATATGCTCAGGTGAGCTGAAATTGGGACCAATCTAACCAATTTAGTCTCTTAGTGTTTGCTAGTGATATTGATTTACAGCTGCTGAAACAAGTATAGCTATATGGAAGGAATTCATTTAATTTCTTGCATTCTAGCACAATTGCAACTACAGTTGTATTAGGGTACACCTTGGTCATTGTCAAGTGTCCGTGGTGAAGACCCTCTTACTGTCCAAACTACAGCCTAACTATGAAACAATATTCTAGACTCTGGTTTTTATCTGTTTTTGTTTTCTTTTTCTTATCAATAGATAGAGGGATTGTGTGTGTTGGGGGTGGGGTTTTTATCAGTAGACTATAATACAGTTATCACAGAAAAAGTATTAAAAACTCTTTATACATTTTTATAACTAATTACAACCAATACTAAATGCTAGTGGAATGTATGTATAACATGAAATTACTTATTACATCTAAAATTAAGAGAAGGTTTGAGATATCAACAAGCTAACATAAACATGGAAAATCTGGCAATGTTAACCATACCAAACCAAAAACACTCAAAATAAACACACACATATACATATATATCTAGAGAGACAGGCTATTTAAAACATCAATGTACACAATATTTGTTAAAGTTGAAATATAATAAAGGAATAAATTATCCGTCTTGGATGAGAATCAACTAAAGCTTTAAAGCTCTGATAGCTTATAAAATAAAAAAATATTATATGTTGTGGTACATCAAAAATCTTTATAACTGTAATAATATACCTATCTCTTTACACCTGTTATCATTAGTAAGTATAGGACTTTCAAGTCAATGCTAAAAAAAGCATTAATGTAAATGTATATATTATGCTATTACAGTACAACCTGTATAATGTGACCACCTGATGATGGAAACAGACTATCAATACTTTTATACGACGACTTCTGCCTCGGTATGGACAACAGCTTGAATTATCCACTGTAGTCTATTAATAGACTCAGTCAAAGTCAATGGTTCTATTAATAATACTATAATATCAGTACATGGATAAAAGTGTGATATTTGTTAATAAGTGATGCAAATGTTTTGACTAACTGACTTATTTTGCATCAAGCTTTCTATCCTAAAGCGGCCATAACTAAATAGTTGGGTCTTTTTCCTTAATTTTTCTAAGTGTCCTAAAATTGTTGCTATAGTTATAGGTGAAATACATAATCATAATAATAATGAACATGAAATTTATCACAAAAAATGACATTGCCATGTAAAAGACAACAAACATTGCACATTGCCATACAGCAGAACAATAAAATAAAATACACAATGACATAATAACTGCAATAATAAAATTTCAAATTATTGTTTGATTTTAAATTCCATTGGGAAACGAAACAAAAAATCCGAACTCTCTTGTGAGACAAAATGATCTGAAACAAAACATACATAATTTGCTTCATAATTTGCTTTATAATTTTACAAACTTGCAACATTTCAAATATATATGAGCCGTGTCAAGACAAAACCAACATAATGGCTTTGCATCCGCGCAGTCTGATTCAGGATCCATGCTGTTCACTTATCAACTCTATTACAATTAGTGAAAGTGATAGCGAACAGCATGGATCCTGATCAGACTGCGGGGATGCCCAGGCTGGTCTGGATCCATGCTGGTCGCAAACGCATTATGTTGAGTTTGTCGTGACATGGCTCATATTTGCGTAAGTTTCAAGGTTCAATTTTATATATTAACATGATGCAGTCATGTTTACTCAAACAATATTACTTGCTAATGTTGTATTTATGTAAGTTACTGTCTCGAGATGAATGATAGATTATAATGTTGTTTTACCTGAACTATTCAACAAACATGTATATAGCTACCATAAGTGATCCATTTATTTATGTAATCTCAAAGTTTATACACAGACAAATAATAGAAAGGTTCACTCTGTAAGCCAATAGGTGGATAATTACAACCAATTATGTAGAATTAAATACACAATTTAAAATCACCATTAAGAAATACTTTGCTCTATCATACACCAAAATTAAGCAAACATGATTAAAAAAAAAATTCTTCTCTGTAAATAAAGTTTTAAAAGAACTTCAACTTAGATATAAAAAAACAACAGCAAAAATAACTCTTCATGTTGCGTCCATTCTACGAAGATAAGAGGCTGGTGCGTATCCATAATGCCCGTCTGCTTCTACGTACCACCATTCTGGATTTCCCTCCTGATCATGCATGGATATCACCGTAACAACTTGGTGCTCAAACAGTGTAACCTCATTGTCATTGCGTGAACTAAATGCATATTCTGCATAAAACAGCTGAAATATACAAAGCATAGCGCTTTAGGCCACTTGTATCAAGAAATAAAGGCAAGCAAATATAGAATGATATAAATATTAAGGGATTTCATCCCTTGGCTTGATATATTAAAAGTTATTAAAAGCAAAAAATTATTATTTTGTTCAAGAAAATTTTTTTATCAGAGGTTACAATCATTCATATTTGTTTGTTTTTCTTTATTATTAAATATTTTAATGGCAATTTTTAACTCATTCTTGGTCATATCTTGGCAGTTGGTCCACCTAACCAGCTAGTTTGGATAATCAGCCTGTAATTACCAATTTCTCCGCAAGTGACCAACAACAATTCCCACATGATTTTTGAATCAGAGATGAGAGACAAATGACCATTAGACTCAATGTCCGAGATCATTGTAACAGAGGCAGAGGTGAGCTAAGCAGACAGACAACTTATCTATGGCAAGCAGATGACATATTTTCAGCAAATAGATATATATATCTTAGATGATATAATTTGAATTAATTTCCCTCAATGGCTAACGGCAGAATAAAGATAGAAAACTTCATCTTTTTCTGTACATAATATTTTTGGCAGAATTGGTGCTTTATGCTGAAGAGGTCATATATTGGTTTGAATCCAAACATTGACAACTGCTTATCATCTGGAAGAAATCTTTGCCGCATTCATAAAATTACTTAACTTCACCTATGTGTAAATAATTATCCAAGAGGGAAGTATAATTTAGTGGTGCCAAGATATTGGCTGCCTTATTAAGTGGTAGTTGTAAAATGTATATTTAATCTTGTACATGACCAGGGGTGAAGCTGTACAGTTGGTGAACATGCCCAGGTCATAAAACTTAAAACTATAAAATGCCTTTACTTTTTTCTTTTCCTACTTTTTTTTTCTAACTTCAAGAGGACCACATTTTGTGTTTTTTTATTATTCTTTGTAGAGTATGGAAATTTCTTCATAAGGGTATGGTAATAAACAAAATATGTCAAATTTTCAACAAGATCTGAACAATCATCATAATTTGAATGCTTGCTTAAGAATATAAGTAATACAAATATAGCAATCATCTACAGTAGCAACCAGTATGATATGAGCCGTGTCACGACAAAACCAACATAATGTGTTTGCGACCAGCATGGATCCAGACCAGCCTGCGCATCCGCGCAGTCTGATCAGGATCCATGCTGTTCGCTATCAGTTTGTTTACTTGTAATAGGATCTGTTAGCGAAAAGCATGGATCCTGATCAGACTGACTGGTCTGGATCCATGCTGGTCGCAAACGCATTATGTTGGTCTTGTCGTGACGCGGCTCATATCATCCATTCTACTGATATAACATATATTCACTAGCTATAAGACATGCTATATGTACATGCTACATGACACTTGACTCTTTTATCTAATATATCTTATTAGATGAAATCAGTTAAATATAAATTAATAAAACAACCACAAACCCTCTTATCATTATTTTTTCCACTAGATCAATTTACAGGTATATGTGAGATGTTAATTCATTTTTATTTTTTTAAATCTAACATAACTGTATTACACATTGAATATGCTTGCATTTCATTAAATCAATATTTTCATACCAGACAGGTATTGGTTTAAAAACTTAATGTTTTTTTCTACAAATAAAATTTGTCTATTTGAAAATAAAATTCAATTTTAAACAATATTAAATATTTATGACAAGAAACATTAAATCATTCAGCATTTACATATACTACCATAGGACAAAATTCTACCATCGGACACAAAAAATATTCGATTATTATGATGTATACCAAAATATGGGAGTAAAACCTGAACAGTGAAGAGTGTGGAGTGAAGCTTTACGAGTGAAGTGATTTAGGAAATCAAATGGAAGAATAATGTGAGTGAACTAATGAATGATGATATTTATAACATATGAATAATTGTACCGATGCTATGATTGATAGACTGACAAAATAAAAGAATGACAAAATGAATGAATGAATGAATGGAAGAAGTAATGACAAAAGACTTCCAAACTGACTGACAGAATGACTGACTGACTGTAATATGAGATGATGAAGGTAAGAACTATATACTTGTCTCTATATACAAGGATGTAGCTCGGAACTAAATACATATACATACATATATATATATACATATATTATACTCACTGCTGGTAACTTCAGTGGCTTAGTAGAGGAAAAAAAACAAAGTGGAAACATCAAACTTTGACAATAAACAAACTGATGTTCACTAAAAATGTTTGTATACATTCAAGATTTATAAAATAGAATTGGTTAGTTAAGAAGTTAGTAAATATGCATTAGCATTTAGCTGTTAGAGAGAACTAGTTGTTTTAAAACAAATACACAGCAAAAGATGATTTAACCCAACAAAGAGAAGTGATTATAAATCAGTTTATATTAAGTCTGTATTTCAAAACCAAAAGGTTAAGAAGCAATATTTTGTTTTGTTTTGGTTAATGCCAAACACTGAAATGTCACATGATTTCTTACCAGCTATACTGGTGGAGGAAGATCTAAGGTGCCTCTTTAAACATTATTTTGGACATGTGTGGACACATGAAAAGACCTTATGCCCTACTGTTAACTACAGATAGCTTTCTCACAGCATTCTTTGAAAGTTTAACACATAACCTGCTTAAACCCAGTGTGATTTTAAGCCATTATGCCACCCGTATAAAGCCCGATCATCATGTATATTCATGCAATCTAAACTGGCTCTTTGTAGGGTAGCACTATTTGGTATTTTGATATTACAATCCTTTAAACTTCAAATGAACTGTTCTAAGTTTAAAGCAGGGCAAATCCATTACAGAAACTTAGCAGGTTAAGGGTAAAACCCCCTCTGATATGACGTATAATCACTTATCTTGATAAGAAAGAAAACAATGTAAAGAATGTATTTAAATATCAAAAATGCACAACTGTTATTGAAAATGTTAAGATTAAAAACAAAGAACAAACAAAGTTATAAAGTTCTGTTTACCTCAGGTTCCTCTTCCACTTGCTGGGAGGCAGTATTCCAAGCAATGACAGATGGGGAATCAGCAGTCAAGTTATCATGTACATATCCTTGATTTATGTCTCCTAAATCTGGAGCCATGTCTTCGTCAAGAGCAAAGTCAATGTCGTCAGCTTCTGGTAGAGTATGTAACACTGATCCACTTCCTGTAGACTGTATCACTGAATACAGAATTAGAAAACATTGTTAATATCAACAGCTTCCTGTTAATTGTGCACAATATAAAAGAGTAAATGTTGTACTCAGACTGTGAACATCTTACATAATATGAGAAAATAGTACTAAGGTATATAATTAGAAAGTCAATATTGATATATCTCTGCTGACTTTATACTCAAAAAAATCAGTAAGCCAGTAAATGTTGTCCATTCTTGTGCACAATATTTATATTCTCGGCCTTTTCAGAATTTTAAACAGTTTTTCCAGTGTATCTAAAATTGACGAACAAGAGCCGTGCAAGGTTTTATCCTAAGATTCAAACACTTCTAGGTAATATTATATACCAAATATTCTAGCTTTGGGACACATGGTATTACTAGTGAAATACGAGCAAATCTTTAATCCCAATAAATATAATTTTATAACCACTAGGCTTTACCACAGAACAAAAATCTAAGCACAAGAACTTTTTTACCTTTATTCTTAAATTATAGCTTCAAAACACAATTGATAAAAGTATAATTTACTGAAACATAATGACAAAAGATACTCAAAATGATTTGTTTGTTTCATGGTTATCTTTTCTTTATTTCATAAAACTTTTATACTTTACAAATACTATAAACCAAGTAGTTATGTCTCTAACGAATGACGCCAGAGAAATTCATGTATCAATACACTCACCTGGACTAGGAGCAGCTGGCCATGGTGATTGACTAGATTTAGGGGAAACTGGGGACAAACTCCCCTGTGATGGTCGTAGCAGGTCTTCACCTAGTGACAGAGGTCGGGCTGGAGATGGTTGATATGGTATCAATAACTTCTTAGATATAAAACCTTTAGATGCTGAAATTAAGAAATACAACTTTATCTATTAATTTTTTTGTTGCTGTTATATTTCTTGAAATAATTAGAAATCACTGATTAGAAATAATAAAAAATTTCTTTCAACACATTATTTGACAATGGCAGTCAGTTCATCAATTCATTCATTCAGTTAATTTATAATATCCATCAAAGTATGAGGCACTATAAATTTTATAAATAGTGAGGGAATTGTTTAAAGGGTTAAAAATTATCATAACCCTACAAACTTACATAACACATCAACTTCCTCACAAAAAGGAAACATATCATGCCAAAAATATCATTACAAAATTTCAGACAAAAATAAACAATAGTAATGTTTTACTTAAATATTCATCAATGAATCATCGTTCATATACAAATATATTCTCACCTCCATTATCCACAAACCATCTTTCTTTGTTTCCCATGGGATCTTTCTCTACAATAACTCCCACTACATCACCCTCACATAATGAGATGTCCAGTGCATCTACAGCAATATGCGTCTCACTGACTCGGAACAGTTTGTTGGCAGGATACTTCTGAGTGACAAAGATTCTCTGACTATCAATCTGAGGTACAGCTTCAGTCTGCATTGTATAAAATGTGTATAAATTCATAATCTGCTTGTCTGAACTAAGGAGATATAAACAAAGTACAAATCAAGATATGTATTCAATAGAGCAGACAGAGTTTTTAGAGCTACTTGTTTCAATCAATGTATTTTCTTTGTTAGATTTTAAGTCACACCAACACTGAAAATGTTTTTTACGGTCGTACATAAAAATTTTAAGTTTGTTTGATTTTACGCCTTTTTTCCATATTTCAGTCCTATAGGCGGGAAGTTTTCTAACCATCGTTCCTGGAGAGTTACACCAGTACTAGACTACCTTCCTCCGCCCTAAACAAAAAAAATTTTAAAAGTTGTAGAAAACCTCAGATGTCTCCCTTGTACTTTTTCAGATACAAGCAGGAATCAGCAACAATCAACAGCCATAATCTAAATGCATAGCTTCTTCATATGAAAGAAATCACTGTCACAGACAAGATTCAAACCAAAAGTGCTACTGGGCACGTGATTTGAAGTCAGTGACCTAAAGTCCTCTCATCAGAAGTTCATATTTAGAAGTCTAGTTTTGAAATATAGTGATGCATTAAAAGAACAGTCATATAATACATAAGGATATGCACTGTACATAATACAGTCAAACGTGTATTAAGCGACCGGGCAAGGGAAACACCAAAAACGGTCGCTTAATGAAAGGGTCTCTTAAGACAGTCAGCATGATATAAAAGTCAAAATTTATAAATGACATCTTTTTTATTCGATGGGATTGTTTTTTCAACTTCATTTTTATATAAATGTTGAATAATTAAGTACGCTCTGATAATCTAAACGGATGCAAATGTAAAAATAAACGTTCTGATATTTATTGACAAAATCAGTTTTGATCCATTACGTAACATGTTTTGACATTTTTTTCCAGAATTTTTTAACTTCTCCGTTGTTTTTTTCCTTGTCTCCAACACGAAAACCCTATTAGTGAAGATGTTTTCTGTTGTGCATTTTTTCATTTGAAATAAAACAAACTACATCTATTTGTTACGATTAATTTAATGGCTGATCAAGTTCAAGGTCAATTCAATGCAGTCTAAATGTCAACAAGCGAAGCGATAACACCAAATCTCAGTATGGGGGGAGCGTTGCATTGTTTTTCCGATATTACTGGATAATACACGTACGCGTATACTTAACTTCATTTGCATACGCTAAAACGGTATGGGAAATAGAGTTTTTCACACGTTTATTGTTGTGTTTTGATTGCTGACACTTGTGACATAACGAGGTGGCGTTCTCTAAAAGCACAATTACTTGACAGGTAAATGTGGTCGTTTAATGAAAAGATTGATGTCAATTAGGTGACTAATAAGCGGTCGCTGGTCGCGTTGAGCAAAAGTCGCTTAATACATTAAAGATATAGAGAGAAAATGATCGGGGGGAATTTAAAGTGGTCGTTTAAGACAAAAGTCGCTTAATACACGTGGTCGCATGGGCAAGTTAGACTGTATAACATGTATCACACATAACATAACTTCTTCAGTGGCACATTCAGTGCTGGAACCAAAAGTGATTTAGTCTTTGCCTTACATGCAGAGTAAGTCAGCTTGCACATCCTTCAAATCTGACCAGGATCTTTACTATTGGTAGCTCAATTGTTTTTTATTTTGATATACAATCCCTTCATTTTCAAATGAAGTATTCATATTTCAAGCAGGGAAAATCCATTCATGATGTCATAAATTCCGCAGGGTAAGAGTTACCAGAAAAAAGAAAAAAAAAAAGAAGATATATCAATGCTATAACTCTTACCGATCGAAGCATAGATGAATCAAGTGACATGCGCTTGTTTTTCTTCTCTTGTTTTTGATCAGCAACTCTTGGGGAAAATGTTTTAGGCATGAAACTTAACATAGCCAGTTTGTCAACTACACTTGTATGTTTGATGTTAAATTCCTCTATTATATTCTCCTCGTTCAACATTCCCAACTGAAATATTAATAATAAATCACCTAACTTACTAATGATTTTAAAAATATAAAGTAGCATGACTCAAGATTAGGAGGGAAAACTTTAAAAGATTGAACTTACGCATGAGTAGTTATGCTAAATAGTAGGTCCTGTTCAGAGTATATTACAGCTGAAGAATGACTAGACCATACATAAATCATTCAAATGCCTGAATATGGAGTTGTACAGAAATATTGATTATACATGTTTATCGAAACATACATGTATGTGATTTAAATCAACTTGTATAACAAGAAAAAAATGCCTAATATAACATTTCAGAATAAAACCATTTACCTCTAGCAGAGCATACATTTGTTGTAACATTTTATCATAGAATTCTCTCTGAGCTCGTACAAATGAGCCGACACAATCTCGAAATAACCTGCTAGCCAGACTGTACATCCTTGGTAACTCATCCAATAACTGGGCGTTTAATGCTTCATAATTCTGCTTTGCTGACTGCATTGGTTTCTCAAATACCTAGTATAACAGAATAGGTAGACATAGTTACTAGATACATGTATATAGATATATGAAAGACTAACCTAGTTAAAGAAACAGTTTTCAATACAACATGATCATAAATAATTTTATATCACACATGTTTTATATAAATACCTTCATAAATGTATGACCATTAGACTCAAAATGTCCGAGATCAATAGTCTAAGAGAAATTAAAACTGGCTGGAGGATTGAACCAGCAACATCTGGATTACAAATCTAATGCTCTACCTATTAATGAGCTAATTGGGCCAACATGCAACATATATCAAAGTTTGCCTTCTTAACATAAAAAAATCTTCAAAATTAAAACTTCTTAGACTTCAAAGACTCGGACATTACATTATAAATGTATGATATTTAGCTTATAATCTAACCTTGTCACTCTGGGATTTTCTCTTCAAGTTATCATAGTCCAGTAGTTTATCATATCTTTTCTGGATGACCTTGTTAGGACCTTCAAACATCTGTGTCATCTGTCCTAGAGGTAACACCACCAGTTCATCTACCTCAATTTTCTGGGTAATAAAAAAACAAATATTACAATTTATTTCTTATAACATGCAGATGAACCATCATTTTATTGACATTTCATACCTTGCTTGATCTTGTAATTGTCTTCATTCAGTAAAAAAAATGCCAAGTATAAAAATTATTTTCAGTTGGTATTTTTTCCAGTCAGATCAACACTTTAAAGGTCATTTATCAACATTCCAGTTTTTGCTAGTGATAGCAGTCCTGTACTGGCAGTTTGGGAATTATTTCAGGCATGAGCAGGCACTAGCAGGCTACTGGTTAAACCCCCTAGCACCAGCTTAAGGGGAATCCAACATTTATACATGAAAATTGATAAAGTTTTAATTTAGAAACATTTGCAGATGTGTTCATTAATGGCTAACATGGAATTGTTTATCCAATTACTTGCCTATTTACATTACAGTGCATATTTATATACAATTAAGAGAACATTTGTCAACAAAGTTTACAAGTATCATTTTTCTAAGATACTAGTAGTGTTATCATCCATTGATATACCTAAAATGACTTACAAAGTTAGGTAGAAATGTCATATGTATCTGGTTATAGAAGCTCTGATATCTCTCTACTTCTACCATGTCACGTTTCTCACCATAGAAATCTTCAATATCCGTAGTTATACTTTCCTGACAACTCACTACATTCTGTAGTAATACAATAAACATATTTGTATGGTAAATAAAATTATGATACATTTTATAATATACTGAATACGATATATTTTATGTTGTCCTGCCTAATGTGGATAAATAACCAAATAGGCTTGAATCTGAAGACTGATTAGTTGCAAGAAATCTAATTTTAGAAATATAAGTGTTTTAGAAATGTATAAATATTCACATTTTGAACATGCTCTATAAAAAATATGTCTCAATTACTGTTTTTATCTCATGTACTAATACAGAAAAGACTATTGTTGTATATTTTGACCCATTTAAGGTCATTCATGTGGTTTGTTAGCCAAAACTACTATAATGGTCACCTGAAACTATTTTCAGACATGCTGGTTTAAGACAAACATTTAAGTCTACAGTCAATCAACAGACAATGAGTAACTGACCTGAACTTCCTCCAGGTACAATTGTACATCCTTTATAAACACTCGCACAGTTTTCTCTAGGTGTCGGTACCTCGATTCCTCCTTGTCAAATTCTGCATCCCTAGTCTGTTCAATAAAACCAAGGTTGGCAGAAAACCTTTCTTTTATACGAGATGATTTTTTCTTAATAGAATGAAGACTGAGTTTAGAAAATTTTTCACCCAGGGATACATCAGTATCCTTCTTGTACTTGTATACTGAAACAAGAAATTTACACGCATTATATTTCCCTATTATAAGGTTACTAAATCAATTAAAACATGAACAATGCCTTATTTGACTGCAGAAATATGTCTTTGATCTTTCATTGAACATGACTCATACATTTATACATAATATACATTGTGAATTTCATATTTGTTTCTAAAAACATTTTCATCCTATAGTATTCAACAAACAATGGGAGAAAATGTCTATTGAGGAAGATTTTCTAGTCTAACAAAGGGCATACATACATTACATGTATGTCAAAGTGCAAGCCAGATTTAAAATAAAACTTCCCTATGAATGTGATTCTTGACATGTGTCTTAAAATTTTAGTTCATTATTATAATACCTTCAGAGATACTCAACAAAAAATGTAAATTACTCAACAAAAAATGTAAATTACTCAACAAAAAATGTTAATTTTCAGATATTTATTAACTAAAAAAGGGGAAGATCAAAGAAAAAATCAGAGTTATCAAACTTGACATGAGAAGTTACACTGTTGTCTTAAGTTTGCATTTTAAGTTACAGGTCAATACATATAACTTAACTGTGTCTTAAGATAGTCAATAAAAATTTGAATTCTAGGTTGAAAACGGGCATACTGTACCTCTGTCAAAGTGCACTATGAGTTATCAAATTTTGCACATAGAATAATATTGTTATATGTAATGAACTTTTAAATAAATATTGGGATATAGATGCCCCTACATTCCACTGTTTTGTCAGTCTAAGGACTGACAAAGTGACAGTATAACAGCGAGGACGGACAAGCAGGGCAAATCTATATGGCCCCACAAAGTTCGGGCAATAAAATTTAGGCTAAGACGGAACAGCCAAAGACATCTTTCATAATTCCCAACGATGTTTAGTGGTGTACATGTACTTTGCTCAAGGATAGATTTACAAATAAGAGCAGCTTGATACAGTGTTCCACTCAAAAGAATCAAAACATTTTACAGTTCTCTTTTCATTTCATATGCACATATAAAATGTCAGTCGATCACATCGGAATGTATTTCAATTACCCAGATCTTTCCTCCGTTTGTATTCATTGATGGCAGAAGCAACATCTGTCATAGCTTTAATAGCTATCATCACTTCCTTCTTATCTGGATGTTCATCTTCTGTACTCTGTTAAATACAAACATAGAGAATCATGTTATGTTTTATCACATACCCGTGTCACTTTTCTGACTCCATATAAAAAGCTGTGTATATATTCTGACACAATTTCATTTGCGTTATACAAACATAGCATAAGACGCATCAATATTAGTTTATAAACCAGTCAATGAAAAGTTGATTCTTTTTTACTGTAATCACTTCTTAATTTAGATATCTGATAAATAGAATATGACATTAGTGTGCATAAAGTTAGATCTATATTACTAAATTTATTGAACTTGTTGAGAGGCTTGCACAATACAGTTTTATTCAACTTGATAAATAAATTCAGTATTGAACCTACACTCATTCAACATCAATATGTCCTCTTTATATTCATACCTGCAATAAAGAGATTGCATGGTTCTTATAAACCTTTCTTGGACGTCAGATGTGACATCATATAATTATTAAACTATGAAAACAAATCTTACCTTGAGCAGTTCATTTAGCAGCAGTGGATATTTGAGTATTCGTTGTACAGGTTTAATGAGCAGTGCCTCGAGGTCAAATACTACATGTTTCTCCCTTAATCTATCTAACAACCTCTCCAGATATGCCTTTATGTCAGCATTCTGATTATACTGAAACACAAAACAGGTCTAATTATATAAAACTTTGAAAAAGGAAATTTGTTCTCATGTTTGTTTTGAAGGATTTAAAGACACCGAAAAGTAATATCGTGACTTTCTACCTTTATGGGTTGAGGAACGCCTCAGCTGTCCCTTTGTGCATTACTCAAGGCATGAGTGGGCACCTGAGTAGAAACACCAACATTCTGTCAGGTACATTTATAGCTGGATAGCTTCCTCTTATGAAAGAAAGTCTATTACGGTATATACAGACAGAACCCTGACTTTACCCACTAACGATATCTAACGAAGGCTATCAGACAAGAAAAATTAAGTTAATTATTATAATAAACTTGTTATTTAACTTTGTTGTAAATTCTATGTGACCTTTTCAATAAGGGTGATGACATCATCGTGATTCCTACAATACGGAGCATATACATTCTTCATGTCCTCCGCCAACATCACAAAACTTTCTCCTGTAATATAATAAACAAAGTAAAATATGAACAACAATGATATTAAGAAAGAAAGACATTTATTAAAAATTGATAGATATACCTTTTTGTATATTTCATAAATAATCCGAATTTAGATTTTAAACAAGCTGTAGCACAACTTTTCCAGCTTGCTTATTGAAGACTGCTTAGATCTACTAAGGTCCTGTGCATGGGCACCAAAGGTCTTCCTTCACCAGTAAAGTTACCAAATATCGTTGTATGTAAATAATGTTGATATACAAAATGTTTTTTTCTTAGTAGGGACAAAGATTTAAACCACTATCAGTGAAATCCTATACATTGCAACATGAAACAACATACAACTGTATATGAATATGCAAAGATTCATGCAGATCACAAAAATCAAAGAACTAATATTCAAATAACAGCATTATGGTTCATGTACTAATCAATTCTAATTTTTAGACATGCTTAACCTTGTAGGGTAGGTAGTAATAAAGTCACATAGCTATAAACTATAAAAGTCTTATGTTATCTAAATGTAATAGATCAACTATGAGACATACCTATAACCTGCTGAGAAAAGTCCTTGCCATTTGTGGCATCTTCTAGTTTGGTAAGAAGTTTCTGCGAGACCTCTGCCACTTCCTCTATATTACCACACATCATCAGAACATCTACCTCCTTATGCTGAAACATGTCATAAACTTCATTTGGAGATAACTGTATCAATATCTCATGTTTTAACAATTGTAGATGATTAAATGAACATAACAAAATGGTCATAGTATAAATTTTAATATAACGGAGAAAGCGAGAAGGTAGGTACTGTGTGGATGTCACAGAAAAAGTTAATATGTGAAAATGTGTAACTGATTGACAACTCAGCATGTAGAACTAGGCACCCAGGTTCAAGTCTCAACCAAGCTGAACATTTCTCTTGGCCCCTGGCACAATATTCTTGCTTTTAGATTCTTTGTTTTTATGTAAATATCAACTATTTGTAGCAGATTTTTTCTCCCCTAATCCATGTAATTCTAAATAATTTTCAAAAAATTATAAAAACAAGAGGGCCATGATGGCCCTGAGGTCGCTCACCTGTATAAAGGCACCCGGGCTAGGACTTTTATTTGAACAAACTTGGAAGACACCCATTAGAAGATGTTTCACGATGTTAAGTTTTTACTACACACATATAATGAAAAGCAACGATCTACCCCCCTCCCCCCCCCCCGGCAGGGCCAATTTTAATCCAAGGGCTTTTATTTGAACAAATTTGGTAGACACCAATAAGAGGATGTTTCATGCTAAACATCTAAGCTCTAGCTCATTGGGTTTTTTTAAAAGAAGATTTTTAAAGTTTTTACTATACACATATAGTTAAAATCAATGACACCCCTGGGGCGGGCCAGTTTTGACCCCATGGCTTTTATTTGAACAAACTTTGTACACACTTACTAGAAGATGTTTCATGCTTAATATCTAAACTCTAGCTATTTGGGTTTTTTCAAAGATGATTTTTTAAGTTTTTGCTATACACATATAAGGAAAATCAATGACCCCCGGGGCGGGGACAATTTTGACCCAAGGGCTTTTATTTGAACAAACTTGGTAGACACCCATTAGAACATGTTTCATGCTCAATATCTTAGCTCTAGCTCTTCGAGTTCTTTAAAAGAAGATTTTTTAAGTTTTTACTAGATGCATATAGGGAAAATCAAAGACCCCCTGGGGCGGGCCAATTTTGACCCCAGGGCTTTTATTTGAACAAACTTGGTAGACACTCACTAGAAGATGTTTCATGCTTAATATCTAAGCTCTAGCTATTTGGTCTTTTTCAAAGAAGATTTTTTTAAGTTTTTGCTAAACACATATAAGGAAAATCAATGACCCCGGGGCGGGGCCAATTTTGACCCCAGGGCTTTTATTTGAACAAACTTTGTAGACACCCATTAGAACATGTTTCATGCTAAATATCTTAGCTCTAGCTCTTTGGGTTCTTTAAAAGAAGATTTTTTAAGTTTTTACTATATGCATATAGGGAAAATCAAAGACCCCCTGGGGCGGGGCCAATTTTGACCCCAGGGCTTTTATTTGAACAAACTTGGTAGACACTTATTAGAAGATGTTTCATGCCAAATATCTAAGCTCTAGCTCTTAGGGTTTTTTAAAAGAAGATTTTTTAAGTTTTTTCTTTCGGTTGCCATGGCAACCAGAGTTCTGCATAGTATTAAATTCTTTGAACAATTTTTAAAGGTGACCACCAAAGGAACATTCCATTAGAACATGTTTCATGCTAAATATCTTAGCTCTAGCTCTTTGGGTTCTTTAAAAGAAGATTTTTTAAGTTTTTACTATATGCATATAGGGAAAATCAAAGACCCCCTGGGGCGGGGCCAATTTTGACCCCAGGGCTTTTATTTGAACAAACTTGGTAGACACTTATTAGAAGATGTTTCATGCCAAATATCTAAGCTCTAGCTCTTAGGGTTTTTTAAAAGAAGATTTTTTAAGTTTTTTCTTTCGGTTGCCATGGCAACCAGAGTTCTGCATAGTATTAAATTCTTTGAACAATTTTTAAAGGTGACCACCAAAGGAACATTCCTGTGAAGTTTGGATGAAATTGGCTTCGTGGTTTATGAGGAGATGTCATTTAAAGTAAAAGTTTACGGACAGACGCCGGACGAAAAGCGATCACAAAAGCTCACCCTGTCACTTTGTGACAGGTGAGCTAAAAATTCATGTGTACAAAGGAGACAAAAACCTTTTCTGCTGTCGGTCCTTGAAATGTCTCCATGATAAGATTTAACGATGTCAGAAAATCTTTCTCCGTTTGTAATAACTCCATGATCACTTTCCGTCTCTTCTCTTTTCTCTCAGCTTTCATCTCCTTTGACTTCCTTATTTGTTCTTCTCTCAATCTCTCCTCCTGTATTTTCCTCTCTGCTAATTTCCTCTCTTCATCCATCTTGTTTCTCTCTCTTGGACTCTCTACAGCTAACTGTTCTGTAATGCCATTAAAGTATTTCTGAATTTTAACTTAGAAAACAAATGAGTTGATATATAAACTTTTCTTTTTACTAAGGAATAAAGACGACAAGATGAATTGCTTCAAGTTAATGCTGTGACAGCTGTATTGTTCAGCTGACACGAATGATTTTTGCTGCAATAACATTAGCACAAGTTGTTCTATGAATCATTTTTAAAAATTTCATCAAAATCTGTAACATTATAGATGACCATTCCTATAAAGATTGGTCAAAATTTACATATAAGTATAATACGAGATCTTGCTTAGATGAGTTTAAAAGATCAGCACAATTATGTGTACTTATAATTGATATTCTAAAAATCTAGAAAAGGGGTGATGTAATTTGTACAAGTATATAACTATTTTAATACCTTTCAATGTTTTCAGTTCCTCTTTAAATCCTGCTATATTATCCTCATAGAACTGAATGTTTTCATGGATTTCTAAATCTTCATTCTCACCAACATTTTCTTGCATCTGATGTAACTCTGCTTTTGACTTCTCAAATTCCTGGAGTAAGAAAATAACAACCTATAATAATCATGCATCACAAACTACATGTATCACTGACCTAGAAATCCATGTCTCATTGCCGCATATCATCTTTATTATGTAACACAGAATTTGATAAAAATGCAGCCCTTCCCAGTTTTATTCCTGCTGAGATTTCCTGAACTTTTATTCTATTGATATTATTAAGTTAACAAGCAACAGTGTTCAGAAAATGATTCTTAACTGTAGAAAAAGAGTCCCCAGTAACAGCGAATAATTTTACATCATTCCTTCCTTTATATCAATTCAAGTATTGATTTTGAAATGCTTGAGGTTCTGATCATTTCTCATCAGTTATGTTTACTTTGATATTAATTTTACAATAACTTTCATAAATAAATATATTAATCAATGATGTTTCATTTTCTTAATGTAATTATAAAGAATAAAATATATGTTCTGCATGAATGGATGGATACCTCTGATTACTTCCCATATCACATAAATAGCTTTACTATTGAAGAAAAGCATAAGGTACCCCTCCGTGTATTGTTTCAGGCATGGCCCACCAGTACCATTTCTTCAGTAAGTTAACTGGATATTTTTCTTACATGAAAGAATCAAAAATCCTTAACAGGATTCAACCCACAGCAGAAAGGGTAAGGAGTTTGAAGTCAGAGACCTTAAAACTCATAGATGTTCCTCAATTGGCTTAATAACTTTCAAGTAGATTCAATGTGATAAGCTAATAAAGTTTTAATGTACATGTACATGCAGATTTAAATCTAAACTAATCGCTGTCATAACTTGTTCTCTAAGTTCATTGAACTGCAACACTGAACAGTTGTCTTAAACCCTGAAATGCCCTTGGTATTAAAAGAAGCCTACACTAGGTAAATGATGATATAAAACAAGAGGGCCATGATGGCCCTGAGGTCGCTCACCTGTATATAGGCCCCCTGAGAGGGGCCAGTTTAAACACCAGGGCTTTTATTTGAACAAACTTGGAAGACACTCATTAGAAGATGTTTCACAATGTTAAGTTTTACTACACACATGTAATGAAAAAACAATGATCTCACCTAGCCCCCGTCCCCCCACAGCCCCCCCCCCCCCTGGCAGGGCCAATTTTCACCCAAGGGCTTTTATTTGAACAAACTTTGTAGACATCCATAAGAAGATATTTCATGCTAAACATCTAAGCTCTAGCTCATTGGGTTTTTTAAAAGAAGATTTTTAAGTTTTTACTACACACATATAGTTAAAAACAATGACACCCCTGGGGCGGGGCCAGTTTTGACCCCAGGGCTTTTATTTGAACAAACTTTGTAGACACTCACTAGAAGATTTTTCATGCTTAATAGCTAAACTCCAGCTATTTGGGTTTTTTTAAAGAAGATTTTTTAAGTTTTTGCTATACACATATAAGGAAAATCAATGACCCCCCGGGCGGGGCCAATTTTGACCCCAGGGCTTTTATTTGAACAAACTTGGTAGAAACTCACTAGAAGATATTTTATGCTGAATATCTTAGCTCTAGCTCTTTGAGTTCTTTCAAAGAAGATTTTGTAAATTTTTACTATGTGCATATAGGGAAAATCAATGACCCCCTGGGGTGGGGCCAATTTTGACCCCAGGGCTTTTTTTTTAACAAACTTGGTAGACACCCATTAGAAGATGTTTCATGCTGAATATCTTAGCTCTAGCTCTTTGAGTTCTTTCAAAGAAGATTTTGTAAATTTTTACTATGTGCATATAGGGAAAATCAATGACCCCTGGGGTGGGGCCAATTTTGACCCCAGGGCTTTTATTTGAACAAACTTGGTACACACTCATTAGAAGATGTTTCATGCTGAATATCTTAGCTCTAGCTCTTTGGGTTCTTTAAAAGAAGAATTTTTAAGTTTTTACTATATGCATATAGGGAAAATCAATGACCCCCTGGGGCGGGGCCAATTTTGACCCCAGGGATTTTATTTGAACAAACTTAGTAGACACTCACTAGAAGATGTTTCATGCCAAATATCTAAACTCTAGCTATTTAGGTTTTTTCAAAGAAGATTTTTTAAGTTTTTACTATATGCATATAGGGAAAATCAAGACCCCCCGGGGCGGGGCCAATTTTGACCCCAGGGCTTTTATTTGAACAAACTTTGTAGACACTCACTAGAAGATGTTTCATGCTTAATATCTAAACTCTAGCTATTTGGGTTTTTTCAAAGAAGATTATTTAAGTTTTTGCTATACACATATAAGGAAAATCAATGACCCCCGGGGCGGGGCCAATTTTGACCCCAGGGCTTTTATTTGAACAAACTTGGTAGACACCCATAAGAAGATGTTTCATGCTGAATATCTTAGCTCTAGCTCTTTGAGTTCATTCAAAGAAGATTTTGTAAGTTTTTACTATATGCATATAGGGAAAATCAATGACCCCCTGGGGCAGGGCCAATTTTGACCCCAGGGCTTTTATTTGAACAAACTTGGTACACACTCATTAGAAGATGTTTCATGCTGAATATCTTAGCTCTAGCTCTTTGGGTTCTTTAAAAGAAGAATTTTTAAGTTTTTACTATATGCATATAGGGAAAATCAATGACCCCCTGGGGCGGGGCCAATTTTGACCCCAGGGCTTTTATTTGAACAAACTTGGTAGACACTCACTAGAAGATGTTTCATGCCAAATATCTAAGCTCTAGCTCTTATGGTTTTTTAAATAAAGATATTTAAAGTTTTTTCTTTCGGTTGCCATGGCAACCAGAGTTCTGCATGGAATTAAATTCTTTGAACAATTTTTTAAGGTGACCACCAAAGGAACATTCCTGTGAAGTTTGGATGAAATTGGCTTAGTGGTTTATGAGGAGATGTCATTTAAAGTAAAAGTTTTACGGACGGACGCCGGACGGACGGTGGGACGACGGACGGACGCCGGACGAAAAGCGATCACAAAAGCTCACCCTGTCACTTTGTGACAGGTGAGCTAAAAAACAGGATGTTTTCATGAAAAAAATGAATCATTTCCCATCACCCATACCAAGATCCTTTATTTCTTAATTCAGAAAAGTTTCCTGAAATTGGAAAGATTGATTTAAAAGGTCAAGTGTAATATAGTCATATTTCATCATGTCAAAATAAAGAAGCTCTCACACAGGGGCAAATTTTGCCAAATTTTAATGGTTTTACCTTATAAACTTAACAAGGGATCAATTGATTAGAAGTTACTTTCCCTTAGCTGGCTAGATAGCTTCCTCACTTGAAATACTATAAAATCCCTAGTGGGATTCAAACCTACAGTGATGAGGAGTTGGCTGTTAGAAGCACACATCACCTCTCATCTAATGATGCAGGGGTATAAAAAGTGCAAAAAAAAGAAAAGAATATGATATAATGATAAGATTGTAGAATTTATGACGTACTTGTATATCAGCTTCTAAATGTCGGATCCTTGTTCTCAACTCCTGAACAGCTTCTGTATCTTCTTCTTCTTCACCAACATCTACCCATGCAATATATACATTTCTATTTATAGAACATATAACATCTATATTTAGAAAAGATTATGACTCTACTTATCTCCCTTGATCCCACATTAATCTAAAAGGGAGTTGGTCATGATACATGTAAACTTTGCTTTTATGTATATATCTATATACTCAATAATACTCATTAAAAGATAAACAGAATTCATTCATATATGAATTCTAAGATCTCCACTCAATTTATCTATAACTCAATTAACTGCGCACATTTCAAAGTCCATACTCCTTCAAAAATGTCGCAATCAAGCACCAAGTAATATTGTCTACTTTGTATATATAGCCACTTTGTGTATGTTGTTAAAATAAGTTTTTCTTTCATATTTTGCTATGATTAAAACATTCCAAATAATTTCAACATTATTCCATAGTACTTTAAAAACACCTACCTGTCTAATGTACCTGACCTTTTACACTTTATAGGTTTGGCTATATGATAAACACTATATTTGTAGATATTTATTCCCATCCTTGTATATTAACTATAAATAACCCACCTCAATTGATAACAGAACACAAATCTATTCTTTTTCAATCTGCATATACATTTAAACATCTTATTAATTTTCTTAGACTGACTACCTGTAAGAGTTTTTGATAAAGAACTACTGTAATCAATAAAAACATTCAATAGTCTATAACTATTGATAGAAATGTATAGTGTGGTATATGTTTTTTCTATTTTTAATAACAAATTATAAATTCCAGATTTACAAGATCTACATTTTCTCGCTTTAAAATCTTTCACTTTGACAGTTTATGAGAACATAAAGTAACTATCTAAATATTTTTTTCCCAATAACAGTTTAAAACTTGAAATTGTATTTGTTTCATGAGTATATATATGACTCTGTCTACATGTCCGTCTGCATTTTGACCTTGACCTTACCAAACTTATATACAGTTTATCAAGCATTAAAAAAGGGTACATATCTATAAGTGATATAGTATCATCTGTTACAACTATTAAACAATAATTTAGACATATCAAAATGTAAATTTACATGTACTAGTATATTGTATTATGAATATCAATAACTCATCATAAATGACACACATAATTTCACTGCAGATTACAAACATGTATCATTTTGCAGTTTCAAACAGGTTTTATATATAACTATTAAAAATAATTCAGTGTTTCTGATTCAATGATTTCTTTACTTTTCTTTCCTAACTTTTTTTAACTTTCAAGTGAATTTTAACATTGTATTTCACAGACAGCTCAACCTTGTAAGACACATTATCTACAACCATTTATTGCAATTATTGTACCTTTCTAATATTTCAATATTTTATTGTAGAATAACAACATGTTTTATGGTAAGGTTTTCTGATATATAAACCTGAGGAATGCATGTTAACCCAACTGTTTGTAAAAATATCTGTTTTGTTGTAGATATTCATTAAATTGTGACAAAATGGCAGTATTAAAGACCACAGATACAATTTTTTTTTTTTTGTTACATCAATTTCAACATTTTTTTTTGTGTCATACCTTGGCTATCTGAGTCCAACTAAACAGTTTTCCAGGACAACTAAACAGTAATTTACACAGCAAACTACTTATCACTTTGATTCAGCTGGTAAATCTGTAGGGTCAGTTTTGTCTTTTGTAATAGTTATCCTTAAAGGGAGACACAGGCAAAATTTTCCTTTCTTAGTTTTGAAATTTTCATTCATTATTCTGTAAATGTCCTCAAAATGAATACACTAAACAGTCAAAGGAACAAAACTTTTCTCCATATAAAGAATAAAATGGTGTTTTCCTAACTTGACCCACGTGGGTCAGGTTAGAGGGCTAAAATTTCACAATAGTTGTCACTCTGTACTCTGGAAACGTTAAAAAACATGTCAAATCAATAACTTAGACTTGTTTCAATCATACAATATCCACAATATTTGTTATTGTAACTTCCAGGGTTTGTTCAAATCGCATGACTTGTTTTTAAACTATTCGGTGATTCTGTTCGTGTCAAAATTTCGTTCAACATATATAGATATATTTAAACTTCAAACCCAAAATATATAGAATTTATACAGAAATTCATGTTGGGACTTTGAGAAATGTCATTTTAGGGTGATTTGAGTACAGAAAATCATTTTTATATTTTTGCCATTATTTTGCCTGAGTATCCCTTTAAATAACCAAGGAAAGGCAAATGACAATCACTCTAATGAAGAAATCCCCCCCCCCCCCCCCTCCGAATTGAACCAGCAACCCCTTGATTACAAATCTTATGTTCTATTCCTACTGAGCTAAGCAGGCAGACAAAAGTATTGGCATGTTTATTCAACATTATCATTTATGAAAGGAAAGTACTAGTATATCAAATCAATTTTTGCTAGAAATCTATAGAATTCTGTACAACCTTGATTCATTACAAATGTTAAGATTTCATTTCAACAAGATTCACAACAAAACCTGGGCTCTTTTATTTTATCATTTCCCAGTTTCATATAAGTGTACAGGGTTTTCATTATTAACAGATTGACGATCCATATCATCAGTTAAAATGCTGTTAAAATTGGTTGTAGTCAGCTTGTAAATTAAAACATCCCCCTTGACCCTTGGCCGAATCGGTTGTTTTTGTTAGCATATCTGTTGCCTTAGATAAAAACGAAAACCCTGCATGTATATAATTGTCATTTTTACTGTATTTGATGACATAAAAACATACAATATTAACCAACCAGTATAGATTTCTTAAATCAAGTAATAATAAACTTATATACTTACAGAGAGAGGTATTTGTGGGGCTAAATCCCATCAGATCTTCACCAGGTTTGTTTGGTGTTGCCCCTGGTCTTGGCGGGGCTGGTCGGGCGTGTTTCCTTGGCCCTCGAGCTGGGACTGAACCTGGCTGAGCAGGGGCCGGTCTACTAGGCAGGTTCTTTGTAGGAACAGCACTTGTTGGTATAATAGGGATCTTAGATGGGGCAGGTGCTATTCTAGGACCAACAGGTCTTGGAGGAGCAGGTTTCTTCAATGAAGGTCTCCTTGTAAAATCAGTCTCCTTAACATTACTCCTGCCAGGAGCAGGTGGCGGCTTCCTTAAATGAGGGCCACGCTTCTGTTCAGTTTTATTTTCTGATACAAAAAATGTAGAATTTCCAAATGACAAACCGTCATCAAAGTTATCTCTAGAATAATTCCCTTTGGTAGAACTATGAAAACTGGAAGCACGATCTACCTCATCAACACCCTTTATGCCAGAGTCTTGAATACTTTTTTGAGAATGCACTGATGACCCTGAACTACGAAATGAACTACCCCTTGATTTTGTATCTGCTTCCTCTTTAGCTCTTATAAATTCACTTTGTAATAAAGAATCTAGAGGTTTAGATAAATCCCAGTCCTCAAATGTTTTCTTTGATTCAGCTGGTGAATCTGTAGGGTCAGTTTTGTCTTTTGTAATAGTTAGAGAACCTAAACTTCCCTGGTTACTCCCCTTTGATTCTATGTGACTGGTTTCATGAGTTAATTTATCATCAGACTGGTTATTTATTTCAAACATTGACTGAGCTTTTGTCAGTGAACCATTTGCACAGTCTGGAACATCTTCTTCAGCAGAATGTGATGATAAAGTGTTGGAAGATACTGATTTTGGAATACTTGAATTTGGATCAAATGTTACTGGCTTATGACTAACACTGGCTGCCCATGGCTTTGGGCTGAGGGACGGTTTGGGTTTGAGTGCAGGCTTTGGTGCTAATACAGGTTTTGGTTTAAGCAGAGGTTTCACGTTTGAATTGGATTTCTTGGTAGAAATACTATGATGTATATTATTGACAGATTTTGGAAGTTTTGCAACAACATCTTTATTGTTTTCTTCTGTAGATTTTCCTTCTACAGTAGGCTCATTATTGACTTCACTTTCAGATTGTTTTGTTTTAATTTCATTGTAATTACTGTCATGAGATGCCATAGGTAAGTCTGGTGGTGCTCCAATTATATCAACAAATGCTACAGGACACATACCTGTTTCACCCCCATCATTCCTTACCAACAACCAATTTTCATCTACTTGTTTTAATGCCACAGTAACATTTCCCCACTTCATTCACCTGAGGTCCTTGAGAAGTTTCAGCCAACCCAAAATTTTAAATACAATACCAGACCAATAATCCTTCAGTTCCCAAATTCATCAAGTAACTCTTATCAGACTCAGCCCTTCACATTTTTCCTCCAATTTCCTTTTTTTCAACTTTGCCCCTTCACAAAAACCGCACCAAGTTTCATTTTTCAAATTATTTCCATCCTCAGATTATTGCATACGGAAATCTACAAAATTTTTACATAATTCGAAGGAAGAAGTCCAATTTTACCATCAATTTCACCTTCAATCCATTGTTCATCCACATGCTGTATAAGTGTAACAATATCATTTGCATTGAAACTTAACTCATCGGTTAGTTCTCCAACAAATAATAAATGTTCTAAGCATACGGGGGGGCTACCCCTATCAGTTCATTATGGCTTTAGTAAATTTTAAAACTTGTGTAAGATTTCTAGTACTACATGTGTGCATGGGAAGTTTGAGGGTAACTCTGGCTTTGATTGTTAAATTTGGATTTTGCAAGTTGTGTGACTTAAAAATATCAGTTTTGTTTGGGAGTTGTCCCATTTTTCCCATAAAAGTTTAAAACACTTAAGGCCCTCAGATTGTGGACTACCCGTTACATTCATTTTAAATTCAAAAATTGAAAAACAAGCAGTTTAGAAATATACAAATTTTCCCCCCGGAAATTTCCCTGGACCACCCTTCATCTATCACCTCATTTAAAAGTAATAAATCCCCAAACGGGAAAATTTATTTTCCTCATCTATTTTGGTCCTACAGAATCACCAGTGCTTGAGCAAAAAAAGGGGTTTCAAAGAATGTACATTTTTTGCCCGGCCCTTTTAAAAAATTTTGGAAAACTTCAGCTAAATTTTACATGGTCAGGGGAAAATCCCTTTGCTCCCATCACCCCCCTTTAAAAACCAAAAAAACATCAATGGGGGCCCCCCCAGGAGACATCACGGGATAAAAAAAAAAACATGTCTAACTGTTAAACCAAACACTTTCCTAGAGATTTTTGATATTTAGTTCAAAAATATTTATAAGCTTGATCTTGATTATAAGCTTAACAAAAGCCTGCTTACTTGAACCAATTGCGAGTTCACTTCCTGGAACTAACATATGAAGAAACATGGTTGTGATCTAAAAAGAGCTAAAACCCGTGATCTTTGGGTTGAGCAGCAGACACATCAAAGCTTAAGCAAAAAGCCACTATAATGCCCCTCATAAATACAATTTGAATAGAAAATAAGCATTTTTTCATGTATGTTGGGTTACTTTATCCAAATCAAAGATAATTTCAGTCATTAGAATACACATGTAATTGGAAATGAACAAAACCCTTACTTTAAATTTTTTCTCAAAGTTTCACATTAAAATATCTCAGAACCAAAACAAGAGCTGTCGATAGGACAGCAACGCTCGACTATTCTTAGTGCTTGATAATGTAAAAATTTAAGTAAGGAAAAGGGTAAAAAAATTTTTAAATCCATATTACAATAAAGGCCTTGGAGAGAGTCCTATTATGCTCTCAAAGAAGACTATAAAATTTCAACTTGTTTCAAAGCCATATGTCAATGGACTTGGAAAATATTTGAACTATTACAAAAACTTTAACATAAATTCTTAGTCGAAAAAGGGGCATAATTCTGTCAAAATGCTTGATAGAGTTACCTCCTCCTGTCTACAGGTTGGGGTCATGATGGTGAACAAGTGTGCAAAGTTTCAAAGCCATATGTCAATGGACTTTGAAAATATTTGAACTATTACAAAAACTTTAACATAAATTCTAAGTTGAAAAAGGGGCATAATTCTGTCAAAATGCTTGATAGAGTTACCTCCTCCTGTCTACAGGTTGGGGTCATGATGGTGAACAAGTGTGCAAAGTTTCAAAGCCATATGTCAATGGACTTTGAAAATATTTGAACTATTACAAAAACTTTAACATAAGTGGTTACGCCGACGCAGACGCCGACGGCGATGCTCGGGTGACTGCAATAGCTCTACTTATTCTTATCGAATAGTCAAGCTAAAAAGGGGCATAATTGTGTCAAAATGCTTATTACAGTTACCCTCTCTTGTCTACAGGTTGGGGTCATGATGATGAACAAGTGTGAAAAGTTTCAAAGCCATATGTCAATGGACTTTGAAATTATTTGAGGTATTACAAAAACTTTAATATAAATTCTAAGTTGAAAAGGGGGCATAATTCTGTCAAAATGCTTGATACAGTTATCTTCCCCTGTCTACAGGTTGGGGTCATGATGGTGAAACAAGTGTGCAAAGTTTCAAAGCCATATGTCAAAGGACTTTGAAAATATTTGAGGTATTACAAAAACTTTAACATAAATTCTAAGTCGAAAAAGGGGCATAATTCTGTCAAATGCTTGATACAGTTACCTCCCCCTGTCTACAGGTTGGGGTCATGATGGTGAACAAGTGTACAAAGTTTCAAAGCCATATGTCAATGGACTTTGAAAATATTTGAGGTATTACAAAAACTTTAACATAAAGTGGTTACGCCGACGCGGACACCAACGCTGACGCTCGGGTGCCTACAATAGCTCTACTTATTCTTATTGAATAGTCGAGCTAAAAAGGACTTTGATTATTAGTTCTGTAAATCATCAAAACACATTATTGTTTACATATATAACAATGTCAAACAAGAGCTGTCGGTAGGACAGCAAAGCTCGACTATTCTTAGTGCTTGATAGTAAAAAAGCCTTGATAATGTAAAATTTTCTAAGTAAAGAAAAGAGTAAAATTTTTCTTTAAATCCATATTACAGATATATGCCTTGGAGAGAGTCTTATTATGCTCTCAAATAAGACTATAAAATTTCAACTTGTTTCAAAGCCATATGTCAATGGACTTTGAAAATATTTGAGGTATTACAAAAACTTTAACATAAATTCTAAGTCGAAAAAGGGGCATAATTCTGTCAAAATGCTTGATACAGTTACCTCCTCCTGTGTACAGGTAAAGGTCATGATGATGAATAAGTGTGCAAAGTTTCAAAGCCCATTTGTCAATGGACTTTGAAAATAAGATATTTGAGGTGTTACACAAACTTTAACATAAATTCTAAGTCGAAAAAGGGGCATAATTCTGTCAAAATGCTTGAAACAGTTACCTCCTCCTGTCTACAGGTTGGGGTCATGATGGTGAACAAGTGTGCCAAGTTTTAAAGCCATATATCAATGGACTTTGAAAATATTTGAGGTATTACAAAAACTTTAACATAAGTGGTTACGCCGACGCGGACACCACTTAAACTCCGACGCTCGGGTGAATACAATAGCTCTACTTATTCTTATCGAATAGTCGAGCTAAAAAGAAACATTAGCAGATCTAAATTCTAAAAAATTAACGATAATATTTTATTATTCTGCACCATATGATATATAACAATCTTTAGCTACAACTTCAACATTTTTTTCTCTGTAGGGAAAAATTTACCTTTAACAAATTGCAGATCTCCATCTTGCTGAGCAGGGAAGTTTTCAGTGGCAGCAAATACTTTCTGCCCTCTCTCTGCCAGTGGCAATTTTAACTTCTCAACAAAATCTGATGGAAAATTCCCTTCCTTTTCTTTATTAATGCCTCGTAGCCAATTCTTGTCAATGACCTCCGTCACTTTGAAAACATCTCCTTTAGATAGACTGACCTCGCCAGCAAGGTCAGTATGAAAGTCCATGTATGCCCTTACATAGTACCTACGTAGCTCTGCTCAGCCCGCATCTGAAAAATATAGAAGTTAAAGTAAAAAGGATTTAAATTATATAAATCCAACAGAATAAAAACCTGGGATAGTCCACCTGGATATGATAAAGAATTAAAACATGGCAATGTTGAAATGCATCCACCCTTTTTGGCATTCTACAATTACGCATAGGAATCATCGGAACTAAAGAAATATAATACAGTTGAATATCAACTTTTATATACCAAGCTAGCTTCCTTACACGATTGGAACGACCGTAACCTAGGCAAGTAAACAAAACGTGTCAACATACAAGGTATTTATAAATTATATGAGGAATCACAGCCAGAAATACAGTGTACAAGTCATTTAACAACCTTCAACTTTAACATATCACTGATGAAGATGTTGGGTGCCCTTCAATGAATTATTTCAGTCATAAGCTGGCACCTGAGAAGAACAAGAAACCATAAACCTTCCTTAAGCTAGTTCTGAGTTCTGGATTGTGGCACCTTTTGTTAAAAAGAATGCAAAGTCCCTGACTGGATTCAAACCCACAACAGTGATATGCAAGTGATCAGATGTTTGGAACTTTACATACTATGCAATGGAGGCCGTCTGATTGATTTGTTAACAGCTCAAAAGTCATTTTAATAAAAACAACTGTGTATTTATAATATCTGGAATAACATAATGTAACAGAAACAAGTAAATTTCACAGATTCATAACTTGCCATTAACATGTCTGTCCATGATCTAGCTCAATCAAACAGAGCCAGTGCAACATTTCAATTTTTGAATGTTCTTTAGGGATTTCTTCTTGCTGTTCTATTTTTACTTTTTTAGTGTATATCTGGCATAGTTCTGATATCGATCTGCTTAACATACTCATACTACATGTACAAAGAAGCACACAAACAGTAATTTTTTGGTCCAGTCCACCCATGCTAAATTTAGTTCTACTTTGCAATCACTAATTATGCAAAATGCACAGAAAAAAAATCACTAATTATGCAAAATGCACAGAAAAAGTATCAATTTCCTTCTCTCTTAGAGGAATTTTAAGATGTTTAAGGTTAAGTACTCCAGTTAGGCATTCCAGTAAGAGAATACACACTACTATATCTTACTACATGTACATAGTTAAAATCAACTTGATATAATCTATTAATTTAATCTACATTATAAACATGATATATATCTCTTACATAATAAACATGTAAAAATACATGCAACTATTGTTTACAACAAGACTGATTT